CCCATAAAAACAAACTCAAAACCGCCATTGTTACTGACAGTTTGGCCCAATAACAAGCTATACGTAATACTTCGACATCGAGATGGAGCACCATTAACAAATTACGGAATATCATTACAATACCCGGCGGAAAAATTAAAAAGTTATGGGTACCTAGCCATATCGGTTTATTGGAAAAGGAGCGAGCTGATCGAGCGGCGAAGTATGCTGCTTCTGCACCTCTAATTATGGATGATGTCATGGAGGGAAAAGTAAAGAGAAAACTACAGAAGGAAATCTGCAATACCATTATCAACACCATTCTTCCATTAACCTTCAATTAACTCCACCTTTATATTCAACAAATGATGAGAAAACCAAGATCCAAACATTTTGGAGAATTCGCCTTGGTCATACAATTGGATCTTGAAGAAGTCTTCCTCACCAATCTGCAGTTTTGGACAAATTCTCACTATAAAGCACATTCTCTGCGACTGCCTTAACTTTTCCTTGGCTAGAAGTATTGCATTTGGAACGATTAACCCTTTGGACATTCTAAAATCAGCTTCAGAACAGAATATCAATTTACTATATTAGTTTATTAATACTACTAAGCTCATTATCTAATGTAAATTTTTGTAAATTAGAGCCGATAGCCTGTAGTACACAATGTCTTTTTTTTTTGTTTAAGAATTTATTTCATTAGTCTTAAATTATAATAACAATATGAACGAAATTACTAAACGGTAAATAAAACTTGAATAAGAAAAAAATTAACGAAAATTGTTTAAAATTTAGTAAATATGTAATAAGAGACATGTAATGAAATTAAAAAGTATATAATATTTTTTTGGAATTTATATGATAATCAAAGAAGCGAGTCATAGGACCGACGACCATCATTGATTGTTCTTCTTTACCCGTACGGAAACTGCAACCACGAGTATCCACTGCGAATTTTAGGCTTGTGATCAAAAATACAACATTTAAATGCTGGTATTCGTACGGAACTCCCAATATCTGTGCCCAAGTCGAAGGCTGTACAACATGAAGATATCAAAGCAGCCTCCCCTCCAGACGAGCCTCCAGCAGATCTTCTCAGGTCGTAGGGTTTGTTTGTTTGACCTATAAGGTTATTCCTGGCCTCGCACCACATATTAATTTCAGGAATATTTGAGGTGGCAATAATAATACAACACACAAACACAAGTTATAAAGTTGTCACACGCCTTACAAATTATATATAAAAAAAAAAACAATAATAATAATAGTAACAAATATTACAGTGTAAAAGGCATTGTAAGTAAAATTCATAGGTCTTTCTAAATACATTCCGTCTTCTTTCTAATGAAGAGTGTAGACGTAACTCTCACTTCGCTAGATAGAATAATTCCCAATATCAAAAAACTAGGCAGAAAACATACAAAAAAAAAAAATTGAAAACAAACTAGACGAACTAGAAAATTGAAAGGCCAGAATTAATTTGATAATAGAAGGAACTACCAGAGCAACCAGATTTATTAAATAAAATTACAACATTTAAAAAAAAATACAGGATAGCAAAAGAATTACCACAAGCTGAAACAACCAAATAGCTATCAGAAAATACAAACTCCTAAAAAGAGAAAACACCGCAGCACACAAAGTGAACCTCAATTTCAAAATAGCTTCCAAATTCATAACGACATTTAATGGTAGTTACGAAGATATGAAGGCCCTCTTAGAAATAATTGAAATAATACAGAACATGGATGGAATACACCTTCAAATGTGCAAACGATAGATGAATTAAAATAGTTTGTGAATAGATATAGCTTCGCTCAAACAATACTCCAATTACATTTGATATTAGATCGAACGACACATCTACAAATAAAAGAATTACGTCCAACCTCATAAGCGAAATGAAAACGAGCTTGGCAGCTATACCAAAGATGTTATTTTTGCGTCACTGCCGAAATCATTCCCAGAAGCGGTTAATGTTGCGCTGCAATATGAGAAAACTGCAACAAACACCCTACACACAACGTCCCTCTTATAATTGCATTAATAGAAATTACAAGAGAAGTAACAAAAATAATAGCAACAGAGGATTTTCCAACCAAAACAGCAACTCCCATAATAGCCAAAATACCAATCGCAACAACAACTCTAATAGAAACAACAACGCTAATTGGAATTGTTATAATAACCACAACAATAATAATCAAAGATATCATAATAACAATTACAAGAACAGAAATCAGCAAAAGTTCTTAAAATTATAGCAACCGCAATAGAAACCAAGGAAAGAACAATAGAATACAGACAGTAGAAGATCAGGCACACGGAACCCACCCCAATTCCTCGCTGATGGAACAGAATTCGGGTATACACGCTTAAACGCATCCAACATACTCTCATTGTCGTACTATCCAAATCAACAGACTATATTTTATTAAACATTCTAAACGCAACCAAATTGGAAATAACACTTTTATTGGACAGGAAAGCAGATATTACCTTATACATAGCACATCTGCTAGGCGACTACAAACAATATGATTCCCAATGCGTCAAGTTAGCAGGAATAACTATGGCATGCATACGAACATCAAGTTATATATAAAACAACAGAACATAAAATACAACTTGTAAACCAGGATTTCCTAATATAAACACATAATATACTTCTTGCAGCAAGATGCGAACTTATAGCACCTGAGAGAATAAAACTTTAATATTGGTTGTGATCATGAAGCAGACACATCGGAAATCCCTATAACGAAGCAAGCGGAAGAACAGAAAGAAAAGAGAAGAAGTAAAAGAAGTACGCTGTGAAAAATGTTTGGCTTTTATCACCAAGCGAAATTTTACAGACTGTTTGTCCGAAATTTACATACAACACAAAAATTACAGTGCACAAACGCCATATCCACAAAATCCCAAAGATGATATTTTTGAAATGTACTGGTGCCAATTTAAAATGTATGTAGCAGAATAGTATGAAAATGAAAATAAATTAGATGCTAGGAAATCAATTTTTGATAAGATTAATGAAAAAACGAATGATTGGTTCTCCGGGGACGAAGACTGCAGTGAGCCTAGAGAGAGATAATCTCTTGCTTTGAGTTTCGAGTAAAATATCGGACCATTTATATATTTCGTAATCTCTGAGAGTACCCGTAGATATCAAAATAAAAAATGACGCATTAGTGCTAGACAAAGAAATAAAGCGGGAATGTACATAGCAAACTCAATCCGGAGAAAAAATTTAAGATAAAAAAAACCATACAACAGCTACATATCAAAAAAGGATCGTAAAACTTTAACACACACCGTTTATAAACGATATCAAAAGCTCTAAAACTATACGTTCTAGACAACATTCAATAACAAGAACTCACAAGAATATTCGAAAAATACCAAACAGTTTCTCGCTCAGACAACGATCACCTCAGAGCAAACAATTTTTATGCAGAAAATATGCAAAGACGCGATAAAACGCCATTATACATAGAAAAACTGCAAACTATCCCACTAAGTGCGGTAATCGCAATCCTGTAGGGGGTCGTTAAATTCAGCTGTTATTGGTATCAGTCGTAAAGAGCAAAGTTCGTAGGCTTGGGAAAAAGATGAGAGTCTTGATAGAGGAAGAAAAAAATGAAGCGAGGGCTAAGGGGTTATAATACAATTGTGGAGATATATAGATAACAATTTGCTTGGCTTGACTACGTAACTGTTGTAAATTGTAAATTGGAAATTGTAGCAAAGTGTAGCTTTACTTAAGGTTTGAGTAGATTAGCAATTAGTAATTATTTATAAAATTTAATTGGAAAAATTTAAATTTTGTTCAATTGTTTTTTGTGTGATCTTAATGCCTTTCTGCGAATGGCAGCGCTATTTAAAAGAAAAAAGTGCAGAAATTTGATGAGAAGTTCGTAAAGCTGCGAATCCGTTTCACAGGACTTGTGTTTAATTATCTTATCATAAATCTGATTTCTGATCATCTGCTTAAATTGGATCTATTTAAACCAAAACATTATTAAAATTATTGATCAACATGTACGAGTACGCACTTATAATGAAATCCAAAATAAATGTATGAAATGAAAGAAAAGCAGAAAGATAATGTTTGAACAAGTTATTGAGAAAAACAAAAAAAAAAAAATGGTTACGTCGGTATCATTCTTCTTAAAGCTACGCGAAATTTCTGTACTCTGAAGTGCGACCAAAATTACTATTGAGGAAACAGCAACAACGCACAAAATAACGATGTTAACGAACACGATATTTGCGACGCGAATTAAACGAATTAAAAACTGTTTTCTTGACATGTTTAGCTTCTAATTATAACTTTTCATCCCCTTAAACAATTCAATATTACAGAAAAATTGGATTTCTCAACTGAAAATATGTTGAAGTGTTGTTTCCGAAAACGACGTTGATTACAGTCCACTGAGGAATGAAATGACGAACATAAAATCTGCTATCCGAAAAGTTTTAAATATGCTGCATTAAAACTTAAAGAAGAGGAATAAAAACGTGCTTGAGCGGATTTTGTACGTTTTTTTTTTTAGTTTAGTTGATCAAATTGATGACTCGAAGAAACTGACAAGAACGATTGGACAAATATACATAATTTTCATGCGGTGATACGCAGAGCTAAGGTTTATTCAATCAATGATATAAATACACAATTTTGCAAATAAATATTCGTAATGGCAATAGCAGATATGGAAAATTTAATAATTTCACAAAAATATGCTTGAAGTGTTTAGAATTTGAGGATAATTATTAAACACTCCGCAAACATATAAATCGAAACTCTGCTGTGAATAAAACTATCCATAAACAGTATCACCATAATCGATCGAGACAATTTAATCCAAAATACAACAAAAATAAACAAATGTATCATCATGGATAGACTTAGGCATCAACATCAGCATCAGCGTCGCCTTATAGTTTTGGCTAATTCACCTGAATCGATATTGTAGCCGAATTTTATTTACAATTTCGTTTATATTTTATTTTAACATTTTAATGTCTGTTTGCAAATATTTAAATTCTTGGAGCATACTATGCGTTAACCTGGCCTCCGGAGTCGCTTTCGGTTCATAGAGAAGCATGCGAATTGATTCTCGCAATGTTTTTTCCGCTTCTTGAAGATATTCCTTCAAAAGTCCTTTGGCATGAATGGATCCCTAATACATAAAATTTCAATTACTTACTCTTAATTTCGTTTTATCAATAACTTTTTTTTGATACAGTAAGCGTCGATATTCGGCCTGCGTACTGGCCAATTCATATAAGGTGATAGCTTTAAGACGCGATACACCCGGTAAAATGAGTTTCAACACTTGTAAAATACTTTGACATAATTCGATTGTACGCTCATATACTGGAATCCCCGGACACTGTGTAGTGTCGTTGATTACCGATCGCAAAAGTGACGCAATATTTTGCTTGACATCAACTATTAAGTAATGGCGAGGATGCAATGCCATAGATAAACGAGACAATATTTTCTCCAGCTGATTAATATTGCCCTGAACTTCCAAAATTCTCGTTTGCATAAACTTCAAATATTCATTAACTTCATTAGCCGGTTTCTGATGGCAACAAACTAAGCACTGATAATTTCCAGCGTCCACATTTTCCACCAAATATCCTGAAAGAGTTCTTCCTTGACATTTGGAACATAATAAACTGCTGATATGTGAATTCAGCTCAGTTGGATCGTTGCAACGTAAACAATTGCAATGAAAATATTTACTTTCCCATAAGATACGACGCCGTTCCCGAGTACCCTGGTAAAATAAATAAAAAGAAAATATGACCCATGTTCAAACCTACCTACAAATATAGAGAGCGAGACAAAACATTTACTATCTCAAACGCATTTCGTATGAGTTAGAAAGATTTTCAGGCTATACATTTTTCTGTTAATTTGATACATAAGAACGTGTGTAAAAAGACTACATTTTGTAGCTTTTAAGACGATTAAGACAATATTTGCTGCCCTAAAGTATATCTGACTGACGATCTGCCCGGCTTGATAAGAAATTTCTCTTCAAAGACATATTTCTAATCTTTCTCTTCGCTCTTCGTTTGATAACTAGGAAAAACTAAGAGCTTGAAACTAGAGACGGAGTCATACAAGAAAAAAAATTAATACAAGCCGGAAATACAAAGGCGACCATGTCGAGTCGACCTTAAATATGTAATATGACTGGTTTTAAATTTACTTCATATACCCACCTGCCGTATAGCACCACACTTTCAGGTTGGCGTGTAATTAAACAGTGGAAAGATAATACGACTAACTTACCAACAATACGTTTATGTAACAGTTTGTTATTATTTGGCCAGGTTCTATTTCTTGACTTGCATAAATTTTCATACGGTAGCTGCTGTCTATGGATATTACTGTATTGGCTACACAGTCATGCGATAGTAATGCTGCTTGCACGTAAAGACCTTTCATTGGATTTCCGTCAGGTGCCCGTATCTCAAAGGCATTAACATCAATAAGAGCACATAACAGTTGCAGGAAGTCTTCATTGATTATCGAGGCAAAGCGTAAATATTTTGCAAATCCTGATTTTATAATGGGCTCAACTATATTTTGCTGATATTTTCGCCAAATGACGGAATTTCGACGTTGCTCAATATGTGATTCTGCTTCCAAAAATTGTGCAAAATATTTTTCTGTTTTGATATTTTCCTTTATTAACAAACATTTAATGATACTGTAGGTTTCGTTGTACTTTATCAGTTCATCAGTTTGTAAACCTTTCATGGAAGACAGCTTTTCACATTCGGGTTGGTTATGCTGTTGACATGTGCCACACAATGGCATTATTTTACAAAATCTACAAAATTATGATTTCAATCTCAGTCAAATGCGATGTTACTAAAACCAGATAAATTCATTGGAATCCTTTAAAATTATTAACTCTATTCTTATGGAATATAGTGCTATCACATAGCTCCAAAGTTGTATGATTTGTATACATTATTGTCGTCCTGCCAAAGTATAAGTGTAAATAGACAATAAGAATTACTTACTCGCAATGACTTTCAGTTAATTTGAAACAGTTAACACAACGGATTTCGTTGTTTGAAGCTGCTATCAAGATGGGCTGTTCCAATAAGATGGTCTCACCCACGCCCAATTTTTTCGTTGCCACCACATGTCTACGGAATCATTTCGAGAAAATTCAAAAAAACGAAACTGCAATTTATAGAAAATAATAAAATTGACGTAAGTTTACAAATACCTTCCTAGTGTTTTATTCCTTTCAATCGTATAAACATTATGAAGTGTATCATCGCCCATTTCCAAACAGCTTTTGCTAATATTTAAGAAAATCTCGTTTTCACTTACAACACCGTGAGAAAACTTATGAGTAGATTTTAAAAATAAAAGAAAAATTTCGTATCTTTACCTATTCATCAACGTGAGTTATCTTAGTTTTGTCATCGCATATGTAACAGAAGCATACGCTTTTTCAAAATCTTGCAAAGAATACTTATCCGATTTCGATTCGATTCCGATCGATTCAATAGTCAACAAAGTAAAATATTAAATATACCAATCGAATGGAGGTAATATTAAATATAAAAAGGAGTAAAAATGTAGCGTATGGTAGCTGAAGATTTGAAATATTACTACTAAATAACGTGACGGTTTTGGTTAAGCACATATCGCTCTAATAAAATTCAATAAAAGTAGTGTGCCGGAAGCTAAAGTTGCTAAATTAATTGGATCGATTATTACCATAACTTTTCTGCTATTATTTTTCATAAACTTGTTCAGTAAATACCCAATTTCAAATCCAAATTAAATGCTGGTTTGGTGATAGCTAACACAAGATTCGTACCAACCCGTATGTAACATTCTTTTTACAGGCATTGCAATTCTTTCAAATATGATCTAAAAATATTTATGCATGCATTACTTTTCGTTATGTTTTGTGAATAACCCCTCTGTTACAACAGGGAAACTGTCGTATAAATTGATTGCTAACTTTCAAGTAAATTCGTATAAACTTTTATCTATGCAATTTGTGAGAGGTCATATGTGGCATGATAATTCTGTAGCAACATATTGAAAACTAAAAACTATTTGAAATACACTCCCTCTTTGTTACACCTATCGATACGAAATCGTTTTCCGTTCATCCTCCGGCAATGTGGCCGCAGTGTTCGAGATATTTCAAACTAAGGCGGTTGCCATTGAAAGCTGTATTGCACCACTCTTTGGTTTAGATATAGTCACTTATTTTATGTGCTGCTAAATTCTTAATTTTTGCGAAGTTCTTAGCTTTTTCAGTTAGATAGTGGTGTGTATGACGTATAGAATAAATTTTTCATTTTTTATTATTATTATTATAATTTTAGACTAATGAAATAAATTCTTAGACTAAAAGAAAGACATTGAGCACTAGCAACGCAGGCTATCGGCTCTAATTTAAAATAATGTACATTAGATAATGAGCTTAGTAGTATTAATAAAGTAATATATAGAAATGATATTCGATTCTGAAGTTGATTTTAGAATGTCCAAAGGGCTAATCGCTCCAAATGCAATACTTCTAGCCAAGGAAAAGTTAAGGCAGTCGCAGAGAATGCGTTTTATAGTGAGAGTTTGTCCACAACTGCAGATTGGGGAGGAAGACTTCTTCAAGATCCATTGGTGAGTTGCAATTGTACGACCAAGGCGAATTCTCCAAAATGTTTGGATTTTGATTTCAACATTTCTTGGATCTAAAGATGAAGTTAATTGAAGATTAATAAAAGAGTAGTGCTGATGATGGTATTGCAGATTTCCTTCTGTAGTTTTCTCTTTATTTTTCCCTCCATGACTTCATCCATAATTAGAGTTGCAGAAGCAGCATACTTCGCCGCTCGATCAGCTCGCTCATTTTCCAATAAACCGATATGGCTAGGTACCCATAACTTTTTAATTTTTCCGCAGGGTATTGTAATGATATTCCGTAATTTGTTAATGGTGCTCCATCTCGAAGTCGAAGTATTACGTATAGCTTGTTATTGGGACAAACTGTCAGTAACAATGGCGGTTTTGAGTTTGTTTTTATGGGCAAGGCTCGCAGCATGAAGGATAGCTCTGGCATCGGTTGTGAAAGTTGAAGTACTTGCATCAAATATGTGGTTGAGAAGAACCTGCAGTATCTACCACGGCGCAAGCAGGAGGCAGACCAGAAGATTTTGAGCTGTCTGTGTGTAAAAGAATCCAACCAGTACTCTCAATTACATGGGTTTTTTCAGCTATTAGATTCCTGAAGACATAATTTGGAGTGCATAGACAGCGAAATGTCAAAAGAGGAGGCTTAACACCAAAATAGGGGAAAATTATAAAGGGAATGTCCAATTCCTTTGCGACAAACAATAGTCAATTGCAGATGGAGAGTTTTGAATTTTCTTCGCCATAATAATCTTTTTCACGTCATCACCGAGAGTAGATTTGGTGAATTAAGAAGCTTGGGGACTATTTTAGCGTTTAACTCATAAAGTCTATTTTCTAAAGTTGGGAGACCAGTTTCAATTACAATATTATTTATGGGCGTCGTCCGAAAAGCATAACAACTTGCTCTGACGGCTTGGTGATAGACCGGTTTAAACATGTCGATATTAGATTTGCAGCTATTGCCATAAATTATCGAAACATAGTCAATCTTGCTTAACACAAGCATTTTGGTAAGATAAGCAATAGTGTTAATGTGCGCACAGCTTTACCGAGCAACGTACTGTATGAAATTCACCCTTATTAAAATAGAATTTTTTAACCGAACACAGCGTGCTTTCCAGCGATATTTGTTGGAAAACGTGAGCCCGAGATTATGCAGTGTCTGCACGTTTAGTATTGGTAATTCATTGATATGCATCAGTAGATTTCCTGCATCACATATCTGCTTTCGACTGTATGGAAAGTTTAGTCCCAGACGGGATTCCCCATGCGAAGATCTCTCGTCTTTTTCTTTTGTAAAAATGTATACATCGTCCGCGT